TTGACTGAAACAATAACCAGTCGTCAAAGAGAGAGAAATTTAAAGGGCCCCGATAGTTGAAAAAAAATAATTATAAAAATAAAAAAAGGGGCTTGATCTGAATCATAAACAGTCAATTTTTTACGTAACTGTACATCACTGCATTCGCAAAGACACGCATCCCACAACGGATTTGTCGTTTAGAACCTTCCATATTAACCGAATTTACTCTCCTCAAAGACGTAAAGAACAGATTCTATTATTTTCTCTTTCCTTAGAAGCTTTTTCATTTTCTTTCATTCGTATTTTGCGACTATAGCTTAGTTGTTTTGTCTAGTACGACAATAAGACTGCTTTATGTCATTAGCTTTGTAAAGGTCTTTCGAGACCCTTTTTTTTAACGACGCAATGCTGCATATCGACCTATACACGAAGTTTTTACTATACTCACCTCTCAGTAGTGAAGTAAGACGCCGGTCGTTGTCTGCCTAGTCCTCATGAGGTTCGACCTTTTTGTCAGTGGTGTTCCGGCTTTTTTAATGTGCTCTTCACTGATAAGCTTTTCTTCGTCTTCCGAAAAAAAGACTCGAACAATAAGGACCCTCCCATTCCATTTTCGCCAGGGACTCTTACATACTGCGATCGAAGTAACTTTTATTTCAAAAACTTTTTAATGAGGAGTTTCGCAAAGCCCATTGTTATTAAACCTTCGCATTGTTCGCAGAAATAATAGAAATTGACGTCTCGCAAAAACTATCGCTAACAAGTCTTCATAGGCGTTTGATCAGCGTCATGTTATATCGTTAGAGTACTAAAAGAAAAAAGAAAGCTAAAAAGTGTCTCTTAAAATTTTTCTATTCTATGTTCAAATTAAACGTGAAAACGTCTCCCAGCTGAAAAAGGTCTTTAGTGAAATCCTTCGGTTGTATCTAGAAAAAGTAATTTTGTAAAACGATTTTAACCACAAACCGAAAAATCAACTTCATAGCTTAACAGCTGGAAGACCTTTTTACCTTCATCACACTAAGAAACCAGTTTGCAAGTATGATTTCCTCTCTTTACAGTGGGAAGAAATTGAAATTTAAAATCATTTCACATAATTTATGCAGTGTAGTCAAAACAATAAGTGATATGTACCTCCATTTTCTCATTTTCGATTTAATTGTGGCATGGTTTTTAGAGAAATTAGTTCTCTCTTCGGTGATAGATTGACAAAAAATCATGAAAACTCTCCATTTCTTATTCTACGCTGCTTAATTGCCTTTCAACAAAAAAGTACCAGTGCCGCAAATTAGAAGAAATTTTTTTTTCAAACATTAAGGAAGACCATGGATACCTCGTTTGTATGTTTTATACACTGAACAATTTTTT